GAATTTCAAGTAGTTGCGTGAAATTGTCGTCGCATTACCAAGTGCCAAAACCTGCATTTTGCCTTGTTTTTCGGCCATAAGATTTTTGCTATTAGTCGGATCTTTTTACTTGTGGCCTCATTTTGTAGGTCTTATAAATACCTCAAAATCTTGTATGAAAAGTTTTTTCGTTCCTGTCAACACTTCCGATTGAGTCCCAAAAAACACGTTTTCTGATTCTTTGTTGTTCAATAAAAAGTTTTCCCACAAAAACTGGTGTACCCATTTTATGCGTTCATGTTTTGAATACCCCCTTGAACAACTTGCGCCAATAAAACCAGACTTAACAATTATTTCGGGGAAATTTGCTAATATGATTAGGTAGACTAAATATCAAGTTTTAACTCCTCTACATAAATACATGTTTTTATGATCCCATACAGGACTGCGGTCGTAAATTGTTACAGGGTGTACTTTGCACTACTCTGTCACAATTTTAGCGTTCGTAATAGTTAGATGTACCTGTTCTATGTCTTCGAAATTAGAACAAATCGATCCGCAACATGAAAAATGCGCTTTTCTTTCCGTGCTCAAAACCTTTGGAATAAGTGTCATTTTCTTGGTTCATTGTTTATTTACTATATTTGGTTATCAAAAAGGGCTCAAATTGGCAAAATATATATTTTACAAGATGAATGCGCTACCCCGTATCCATAGCGTTTCTTATAATAAATACAACGTTCCCAGAAAATATCGTCAGAAATCAGTCAGCTGTCATGAAATGTCATTACATGACTGTAATCATTTTGGCGTTCTATGAATGAAGTATTCCATAATAAAATTTCATCTGTCAACCTACATTCTTTTACTGTATACGAAATTACATTGCCTAGTGATTTAAAAACGCACCCCAGATATAATATATTTGCCAAACATAAGATTGGCTATACTGAACACAACCATTTTTCAAGAAACCGAAAACAGTTGTTGCAGTAGGTAATGTCGAATCAGCAAAACAATAGCCTCTGGTGAAAATGGCATCTCCCAACTATCGATCCCCTTCTCAGGTATAATGGCAAAGGAGCTGTAAAATAATCATAATAATCAAATCGCAATCAAGACGGCGGAGACCGGCTACCTTACGGCTACTAATCTCGACGGCTGCCTAACACAGGCGGGGTGTTAGGGTTAAATAAGGAACAGATACGGAGTTACTCTATCTTTTATTACCACTTGAATAATGTTTCGCAAAACGTGGATCACAGTGTTCGATGTTTAAAAAATCGGGACAGGTGACTTATGACAGATCATCTTAGATTCCTTAGAGGCCTGACAGTACCAGGTGGTTCCTAATATGAAGTTAGTTAGAAATAAACTGAAACAGCAAAAGTGAGTAAAGTGGATATAGTGGCATCATGAACAAAAACACAAAAGATTTCGTCTGGTATATCGATACAAAAGTGACAGGTGACTGACCACTTGTAGATGAATAAATAATAGTTTGAAAAATCTAAAAAAACACGCTTTTATAGCTAACCGAACTGAAAAGTAAAAAACAATTTTTAATTACAAAGAGTTTATATTACAGCAGTAGATGGTCGAACAATCAATCATAATAAATGACCTCAAAATAAAATTATAGTAAAATTTAAGTTATTAATAGAATAACTCAATTCAGAGTAAAAAGTGTGGGTTGCTTGATATATTTAGGGTGGATTTCACAATTTAACAAACCATTATTCTGCACCAATAGGGTACGAGTAACAAACAGTCCGTTAAATATACCCAATCAGCCTCAAGATCTCTCCGTCAAATTTTTGGCAGCAAATAGCATCAAAGTATTCAAAACAAAACACTGTAAAATATGAAGTGACAGCTTGCCATTGAAATCTTTTCAGTTTATTAAATATTATGAAATTATGTAAAACTGAGCCAACATTTCTAAAAATGCTTGATGTCTGAGTAAAATCTATTTTTTCAGATTAGGTGAAGGTTTTTCCATGTTTACTGCAACTTTTGTAATCCATATGTGATTATATCACCTACTGTGTGCTTATAGTTTATCCTATATTTGCAAACTTGCACTTCCAAACCCTTACATGAAAAAGCCTTTTCACTCAAATTTTTGTTAGGTGTTGCATTTCAACACATTCATACACTTCTTTCCAGTTCCTCAACCATATTTTAACCACACTGGTCCAAAACTGTTCAACAGTTTCAACATTCATACATACAATTGCAGTTGCAGTTTTTTGTTTTAATTTCAGTGTATAATCAGTCGCACCATCGGTGATGGTACATTCAACATAACCACGTATTTAGTGGTTCGTGCAGATTTAACGTGTACACGACAGTGTAATATGTATTTCTTCACAAAAAAATCTTGAAGGGAGCACTTTTATACGGAAATTTGTTTTTAAAAAATTCCATTTTTCACACATAACAAAACAAGTGATCACAAAACATAGAATACAGTGACGATCGAGAAGGAGAATAGACCAAAGGAGATCGGAATTGATATTTGAAATTAGTGTCTCTTAATGTTAGCGATGGGAGAATACATTTGCGATCAGTGGAATGTATTGGAACGGTTAAAAAATGTGAATTGAATCGTTTTTACGTTATCTCGACTGAAAGACTGGAATATCTGCTCTGTTTCTGTATATATATTTTTTGTGGTATTGTTGCATAAAGTAGTTGGTTCACGAACTAGTTTCTAGAACTGAACGCAACTTAATGAAACGAACTGGAAAGCACATAACTTTTTCAAGTAATCCAAGGAGGGACAAATTGTCATTTCATCACACTAGTGATGGGAGAATCGATAGCCTGAGATTCGCTTTGCTTCTGTGGCTTCTGTGTGTTTTCTTCTGATAAAACTAGCGCAGTTTTTGTGTTTAAAATACTCTACTTTAGTTAATACCTTTGACCCTAAAGTTGCTCCCATAACAATATTAAACAACTATCATGTCGTGTCGCGTATTTCGAAACGATGTCAAGGGCCGGCAGGGGAAAATCTTTCTCTGAGAACTGAAAATCATTGAACGCGCTGTTTTCAGTCTATTTTATTCTATCCCTTGGTGACGTACAGATTGAAGAAAAGTCTACAGTGCTCAGTGGCCACTCAGTGGCTCAGTGCTCGTCTGTAATGATAATATTCAAATACTACTAAACACCTAAATAGCTTTTCTGGCCTTTCAATTTCGAAGCTACCAGTCCTCGCTTAAAGATGGTCGCACAGTTAAGGATAGACACAGGGTACACGGTTACGGATGTTTATGATTCCTCTCGATATCGATACATCGTTATGAAACCATCGATGCGTAAAGATCGATGTTCTACGTCCGATGTATGGATGTTTTCGATACATCAATGTATCGTCTATCGTCGCCATCCCTATATTGTATCCCCACCAGTCACCAGTCAAAAACCTTAACCTCCAATATTTTATCTATTTATAATTCTTTTTAGCTCTTATTTTTCAGTAATTACTAATAATTTTAGGTCTATGTCTACAGCAATTGCATTATGCACCTCGGAGATGTAGGGATTGACATGTTTTACACATATCGGTGTTTTAGGATGGGGACGACATACTGTTTTGATTGCTTTGAATAAATTCATTAACCCATGAATTTATAACAAATGATTACGATTATGATGTAAAGAGAGATGAGAAATTGTTGGAATACATATTATATTCTATTTTCTTGGAAATCCGCACAATTCAACAGGTATGTGTAGCTATAATGATCACAGTATATTAAACTTAACAAATTTCGAGATTGCCATGAATTAACAAACGACCAAACCTGCTGCCAAATTTAACAGCTAGAAAATCAACCTATTATTTCTCCCATTCCCATTCGCTGAGGGGATAACGGATGGTCAAATGTACACCTATAACATAAATCAAAATACATGAAAGTTGTCCTGTTTTCTCTGTACAAAAGCATCATGTTGTAATCAAAAAGTGGTCTTGTTTATAATACAGTCGAATTTTCACGATTTTATTCAACATTTTAATAGAAATCACTGATATTCTGAGACCTTTGACAGCTTCCGTCAAACTGCATTTCGATAAGGTATTTTCCTATTGGTCCATAATAATAATGTTGGTGAAATCGGCCCTAAATGTTACAATCATTCTATTCGCAACTATCTATGAGAGGAGAGTTATGAAAATGTAGTAAAATGCCTTTTACTCTGAATTCTGTTAATAACAAATGTTTTTATATTTTTATTTTGAGGTTATTTATTATGATAGATTGTTCGACCATCTACTACTGTTATACAAACTCTTTGTAATTGATTATTTTCTACATTTTAGTTTAGTTGTTTTTTTAAATCATTATTTATTTTTCATTTTTTAGTTCGATTTATCGATTAGTTTTTTGTGGACATGTGGTATTGAAATGTCCTACTAATCATTTCATCTAAAGCATGTTGGCATGGGCGTTTCCTGTTAACTTAGAGTAATCAAGTTCTTCAATCCGAATGCCGTCTACAGATCTTACACGACTAAGTGCTACATAAGCTCGTCCAGCAGCAAACATTCGCGAGCCTAGATAAATGACTGCATGATCGACTGTACAACCTTGCATCTTGTGGACGGTCGAAGTACAACTGAGGATTAATGGCAACATTCGCAATGAACAAGGTGAGAATGCACCGCCTTGACAACGTATCTGCCTCCATTGTGCTGTGCCGTGTGCCCAAACCAACAAGGAGTAAGTCCGAAACTGAACGCACACGCAGATCGCGCGCTAGCTCTATCTCTCTTGCTCCCCTACAGAGCATCTGTAAAAGAATTTATCAATCCTGGTGGTCTTAATAAGGATAATGGGAAACTGTTATCAAATTATTGCATTGTCATCGGTCCTTGATACATGTGCGATTGATCAAACTTCTGGAAATTGGTGAAAATTATGCTCAAAGATTCCGTTCATACATACATACAGGCCAAGTTAATAAAAGTGTGTTAAAAATGGGAATGTGACGTTCCTTGTAATACGACAATCTGCCTCCTGTGGAGGATTGAACTCACGACTCCTGGCGTATACGACCAATGCTCTGCCGCTGAGCTACATAGGCTTGTAGTCTCAGTATCCGTAAAACGGCATTTGACATCTGTACTTTTTACAGAATTTTACTTATGAGGATCATGGAAAATTGTTATCAAATTATTGCATTGCCACCGATCCTTGATACGTGTGCGATGTTTCAGATTAATCAAACTTCTGGAAATTGGTGAAAATTATGATCATTGCAATATACTAATAAAAGCGTGTTAAAAATGGGAATGTGACGTTCCTTGTAAAAAACTTAAGCCAAAAAACTTGTTATTCATGACTAAGAGAGTCACATATTTATGGATTCTTAGTTTTTATTACTGAATCATAAGTAATATATGTTAACTTTTTAGAAGTAAGTTTTAACAATTTGTCATTGGATGATAAAGTTTGAGAAATAACTAGATACAAGTTGCGCAATTTCAGCAATATCTGCAATACACCTAAATATAGGCTAAATGCATTTAATAAATATCAAGCTTACAGTAGTTCGATTTCAAGCGAAGATAAATACTACAAGCAAATATATAACAATCCATTCCTTACGGTTAGAAAGTGTAACAGGTAATTAAACCTATTATTAAGATTATGAACGATCGGTACGGACGAAATTGATTTGTCCTTACGGTGCTGTCAGTGAAAAAATGCCCGGCTGCATTGTTATTCCAGGTACAATAGGTATTATGAGTTTGATTTAAGGGGACCATACACCAGTGTTGCCCTGAGGCGCCAGCTCAATCAGTGTCGTTTTAATTTTTGGGTGGCGTGATTAAATGCAGTGTTTCGCTTTTATTTCCTACAAAAAGGTAAACACCTACGATTGTTTAACTGATTTTAATAATTTTTGGCATATATGTTCAGTGTCCCTTACTAGTAAAATGACTAAATTTTCAGCTTGATTTGTCAAACTGACTGCAGAAGCTGGTTCAATGATGTGTTGAGGATCCACGATTTCTTAAACACTCATTGACACGCATGAGCATCGTGCTGATAAGATGGTCGATATCGTGTTGGGGTATCTCATTCCAGCCTATTGCAACTGAGTAAGAGCTGATAAAGTCTGTGGAGAGTGCTGCAAATTCAAGAGCCTGCGACCTATCATGTCCCAGACATGTTCAATTGGATATAAGTCAGGCAATCGTGGTGGCCAAGGTAAACGGTTGATGCGATGTTGATCCATGAAGGTTAACGATGCTTTGGCAACATGCGGTCTGGTATTGTCTTGCTGAAAAATCGGGTTTTGGATGGTGTCTAGATATGGAATAAGATGAGGCTCCACTACTTCCTGAATATGGCGTCGGGCTGTCATAATGCCTCTGATGAAAATAAGTTGTGATCTGCTACCATAAGCAATAGGACCCGATACCATAACTCCCACGGTGTGGTGAATGTGACACTCTCTGTCAAATTGTGGGTCACGTCTTTCACCACGTCGCTTTCTCACTCTTGACCGAATATCGTGCATTCCCAGACAGAAGCGGGATTCGTCACTAAAGACCACCTGATTTAATTCCCGGTCCCATAGAATTCTTTCTCTACACTAGGGCAAACGGTTACGCCGATGTTCAGCTGTGAGAGGTAGCACCCAATGTGGGCGATAAAAACGGCCAAACTGTCGTATTCGACGATATACCGTACGTATACCAACCATCCTTGCTCTTCAAGCCACTGATTAGCGACGGCTCGAGTACTACTGAATCTGTCCAGTGCCGGATGCTCCGCCGTTCGATTTTCGTCCGCATGACGTCACGCGGAGAGTGATTATCATTTGGGGTGATATGGAAAACGTGCATATTTTCACCCACAGGCCAAACGGCTGGACGGACATATGACATGTCGTTGGATTCGTCTTAGCGGTGCGAGTGACACTAGATACATTAAAATTTTATAAAAAATAAAATGGCGGATTTTAATAAAAGATTTCAACCTTGTAATTCATATTTCATAGGCTACAGCTCAAACGGCTTCATAGATTTTCACATAAAATATGAGGTGTCGTTGGATTCGTCTTAGCGGGGCGAGTGACACAATCTGCATTAAAATTTCATACGAAACAAAATAGCGGATTTAAAGCTTTACAGTAGAGCGTGTATCGTCACTTTACTGTAAGAATTAGATTTTTCTACATTACCTATATTTTAGTATGTTCTGTGAAGCAGGATTAACATGCTCATGACGTGAATACTGTACTACATTTATTCATTCTTATGTCACAGAACATCCTAAGTACTAACTACATGCAAGTGTGAAAATGTACGCAACTCGAAAGGTAGACAAATGGAGTTATCATTTTTTTGCAGTAAGCTGGCAGTATAACAATAAATGAAAATGACTTAGTCTAAGCCACAATTTGTATCCATTTCCTTTCACGATTTTTCTGGTCTTTCAAACTTTTACTCAGTTCTTTAATCCGGAAGAACATCCTTGACCTGAAAAATGGTTTCTTAGCTTTTTCTGGCCAGTAAATGTTGCTGCTCTTCATCAGAAGTTCGCCTATAAAATTTTGCTTGTCTGTCACTATTCCGTCCCCATTGAATGTAGTAAACACCTTTTAAGCTTCTCAATTTGATTCATGAAAGCTGTGGAAGGTTTTGATAATCCATTCTCACTAAGATGGTCTATCCAGGAGTAAGTTTTATTTCAGGAACTTTTCATCTTCTCATCCTGCAATTTATGGCAAACAAAGCCGGCCAAATTTTTCAGTCTATCATACTCGAGCTCATCCATTTCTTCCACTAAAACTTCCTAGTTATAATCAGCTGATACTTCCGGTGCATTCAGTTTATTCGTTAATGATGCGGTTAGTGGAATGTCCGGAGTATCCTCTTCCTCTACTCTGCAATACGCCTTCCTTTCGCCCCAAAATATATGACCTTATTCTCTACTTAAATTCTAGGGGATACGTTGAGCGCTTTGCCTTTTTTCGTAAGCACTTTTCCGCTATTCCCCATCAACACATGTAGATGGTCCAGGTGATGATAGAGACTTGGTTAAATTTTCCATAGGAATGGCATCATATTTTAGAGCACGATATCTTTTAGGGGTGTAACCCAAAAGGGTATGTTTCAAATTGAGCTTATAGGCACCTTCACAAAAATGCTTCGAGCAAACCCTAGCGCTTTTTACATTGACATTGATTTTTCTTTTTGTATGATGTAACCATTTTTTGCTAAGGTTTGGATCTTGAGGAAAACACAACAGCACACCGCATTTTCATCAATTTACTAACATCACAGGGTATATAAAGTATGTATAACTAATTTAACAAGTCAAAAACCCACCAAAAATCGCCAACAAATCGCACTATATAGGATTAACCACGATACACGTGCACTGCAGTTTAGGTTACGACAATCCTGCCGGTGGTAACCACGAGCCGGCAACTCTCCGGGTGACGTCACGAAGCTCCGCCCACATTCGCAATATCCTATCTTCAGTGTATGTGTATCGTGCAATCTGTCTGTCAGAGCCAGAAGTCCGGCAGATGGGCCTACAGAAAGATCTCCGACAACCAATTTCTGACAGTTGACAGTTGTCAAACAGTTTGTGAATGCTTCCATTTTTTGGCAAAACAATAAGATCCAAGATGTTATATATCATTAAACGTTTCATCATAAAGTTAACTCAAAAATCGGCAGGCATTATGTAATAGGCCCATAAAATGTCAGAAAAATGGTAAAGTATCAACTTGTGCACCAAGTAGCTGCTAATTTGCCGCTAGCTCATTCCGCGCCCACTACAAGGAAGTGAATGTCAGTTAGTTCAAAGGTGATTTTTTGTACACCGAAGCAGCCGCGTAGGCAGATGTCTAAATGCCAGGACACCGCGGCTGCTATGAGGATCCCAAAGAAATTTCATTAATCCGATTTTTGAACTACCTAAGGTTAGTACATAGAACTGGGAAAAGCTTTCTCTTGTAGATTGTTTCACAATCTCGACGCCCTTGGGGCAAAGGAGCGGTCGTATCGGCCAGTTATGGATGTACGAAGTTCGACATGGTTAGGATGGGAGGCCGAAGTCAGACGAGTCTGTCTGGCAGGCACATCGCGCGGCTGTATCGTGGAGGAGAGCTCGGTAGCGTAGCGCTAGAAGAGGGCTGGACCGCCGACGGCCCGCCGCCGTCGGTGTGAAAGGATCCCATCGATCAGACGGACAGCCCTCCTCTGGACAGCAACAAGCATAAATAATGTAGTCGGGGCGCCAGCATCCCAAACGTGTGAGCAATAGTCGAGGCTAAGTCTTATCTGAGCATTGTATAGAGTGAGGAGGTCATGCGGAGAAAAGTACTTCTTCGCCCTAAACAAATAGCCTAGCTTTTTCACAGCAGCTGCCGCTATTGACGAGATGTGTTCGTGTCAGATCAAGTCCTCGGTGACCTGGACTCCGACCAGCCGAAATGAACGGCTCTTGGCCTTGATATAAATATCAATATAAGATTACTTTTTAAATTACGTAATACAGGTGCGGATTGCCAAAGTGTCTATAATTCATTCGGTAATAAGCCTCTCAGGATAATACAGTCTTTTATCAGAAATGGCTTACCGTTTGAAGTGGCATGTCCTTTTTTCGTATCTTTTTCCAACTACCTGTTTGCACAGTATTCTAAGCCCTTTCCATCTGATTATTTCATAGAGATGACTAAAAAACATCATCAATTTTTTTTGTCAAAAAATGCAATTGAGATTTCAAGAATAGCAAAAGTTTTCTGAAGAGAGAAAGTGGTAAGAAAACAAGTAATCACCCGCTTCATTCTTCCATAAATGTGGAGTATTCACATACAATTTTAACAAGTTGCAATTGAAGGAACTATGCATAAAAATGCACAAAAAAACATTTTTTGACAAAAAATCAGATAACATTGTTTACAAAAGTATTAAGAATGCTCATTCAGATAGGCTATTGAAAAAAAGGACTTGCGACGTTAAACTAAGAATTTAATGTCTCTAGACAACCTCGATTGACAAAAATTTGCTACACTTTCTCAAAAAAGGAAACATATTCAAATGACAGAATCATTTCAGC